CTTTTAAAATTGTATTTTTTTTGTTCTGTACAGCACACACATACATCACACACCAATAACACACACATTCATACAACACATTATTTTACATCTTTTTGGCAGTTGCTTCGCCTTGGCCTGGGTGCTTTTGTGCTATTTTTGCTGTTCACTAATAAAGCACCACCTTTTCTGCCAAGATGTTGTAGTGTATTTTGTTTCAGTAATTTAGTAAAATTTTTTATCAGTATTGTGAAAAATTTTGTTAATTTAGGATAACTCAGTTTTCTGGGTAGGGAGAGCGCCCCCTATGTTAGTAGTTTGGGTAATGTATTTCCCATCGTCATTTGCGGTCCGCCATCTTTGAGTTGGCTACTTTTTCACCCATCCCTACCACAGACCCAATTTTTTATATTTATTTTATTTTTCTTTAACCTTTACTGTTCATTCCTAGTTTTATTGTTTTTCTCTTACACCTTTATACTTGTATTTAGTTAAGCCTTGGTGCTTTTGTGCTATTTTTGCTGTTCACTAATAAAGCACCACCTTTTCTGCCAAGATGTTGTAGTGTATTTGGTTTCAGTAATTCAGATCAGTCACTTATTATGCTGCCATCTTGAATTTTCGCCAAAAATGTGAAAATCAACTAAATACTTGTGTAGCATATTGACCATAGCTTACCAGTAATTCTTACAAAAAATACAATATTTGTGATCAGTCACATGTTTTGGCCACAATCTTGGATTTTTGATAAAAATGTCAATTTTGAGCACTTGTTTCTCATGAATTCTTCAACTGATGAACTTGCTATTTTGCATGCTGGTAGCATTTACATTTTACATGTATGACCTAGGCATCTTCTGAGAAAATAAATACATACATGTATAAGTGGGTACATATTAAGGCACATACATGTATAAATATATATTCAGCATTCAAACTTTGGACTTGACAAATCTACTGTTCAGCTGAAAATAAAAACTTGTTATATTGTATTTCAGAGGAAATTACTGATATTTATAATATACAAAAGAACCGTACCAATTCTGATGCAGTTGCAGCTCTTCTCGAGAAACTGTTCAATTGTTCAGAAAGAAACCCTGGATGGTTCCGTATATTTATGGATTGTGTTCGTGAAACAGGTATTGTTACTAACAGTGTTTTTATGTAAAAAAGCTTTCATGCTTTCATGAAATTCACTGTTATTATTTCAGCTATAAACATAAAAACTTTTTTAATGCCTGGTTACACTAATTTGTGTCATCTATCTCCATTCCATCATAATATTCCATGTTAACAGAACCAGCTTATATTCACAACCTTTAAAAAGTCGTATTTTTGGATCACAACAAGAGATGCATGGGCACTAATTTCTTTTTACTCATACATGATACATCAAGTCAAGATGTGTTTCAAAATGGCTGACAGTTTTGTTCAATATATTGTATGAATGGGACTGTGTCATATGTCATGACTTGTTTTTCATTTGTTGTTTTTTTGTAGATGTACATTTAGCAAATTACATTGAAGGTATAGGCAGCATTGATAATCTGGATGACCTTAATCATTTTAAGCAACTTGTGATGGTTTATTCACATCAATTACAAGACATCAATCCAATGGAGATTCTACCAGAACTCGCCTCAGTCTTCAGTGATACTGACAAAGAGAATATTGAGGCTGAACAGAGGAATTTTGGTGCCCGACAAGCATCCATGGTTATGTGCTGTAGATTGGTGCAGAAAGGTGGTCATTGGTTTCATAAGTTTATTGATGCCTTGGATAAAGTTGGTCATGCTGAAATTGCCGAAGATCTTAGAAAGTCAATTATTCATAAAGGTTGGTACATGTATCAAGTCTTATTTATTTTAGATAAACAAAGTCAATACTGACTTAGATGTATTACCACATTTTTCTATGCTTCTCCTTATTCATGAAGGGCTTGAAATTAAATTATAAATTTCTGAACCCTGTGTCCCAAATCTGTTCATTCTTAGCATGTGCCTGGTAAGCTTAGTACATAGATGATCTGGGATAATGCGCAGTACTGTTTAGTTTTGATTGAAATCATGTGCATACTAATTACCTAATTTGCATATTAATTACCCAAATTTAAGCATTTTCACCTTTTCTCAAGAACTATTGAACACATTTCATTAAACCTTGATACATACATATGTAAATGCTTAAGAATAAGCCATATACTTGTTCAGTTTAGGATTAAATTTTGTGCTTACTAATTACCTAATTTGATCCACAGATTTGATTACTTCATGGTTGAAATCCATGCATATTATTTACCTGTTATTAGTTTCATATGTGTTTCTTAATATGCATGACTGTAATGAAATAAGTACTATTGCAGATAGGGACATGCCACCAGTGCTATAATTGTGTCCGACAAGATATGACCAAAATATCAAGTCATCATATATGGTCATTATTTCATTGAATATTTATAATTGTTAAACCATAGCTATTTGGAGGAGTCATTTAATACATCTAATTTCTGTTGACTAGACCAGCCATTTATTCACTCTCATTTATTAACAATGCTTTTGAACCGTAACTTTATTTTTGGCATGAATAACATTTCCCCTAACTGCAACAGGAACTATGTCATTAATAATGACTTGTTACTTTTGGGTTTATGTACATCCATAATAATTACCTAATTTACATAATTTATCATCACATTATTATGAATCATACATATGTGCCTAGAAATTATACACAAACTAATTAGTTTTGGATTGAATTATATGCAAAATAATTGCCTTATTTGTATAATAATTTTCTACCTATCTCAAAAACAATTATTGCATTTCATAAGACTTGGTACATAAGTGCCTAGGAACAATGCTAAAGACTTGTTTTAGCTTGAA